GATCTTGACAGTTCCGAAGCTTTTTCGCTTCGTGTTTTTTCCTTTCACGTGTGTTTTGTGGCTTAGGGTAGCTCTGCGCTGTCTTGCACTGCACATCCTTAGCGACTGGCTCAGCTGCATGTCGCATGCATAAATTTAAAGCACGCCATGGCATGTGCGCAACACTAGGAGCCAGCACTTCCACTTTGGGTACAGCTTCTCTTGCACTGCATTTGTAGGAGGACTGGTAGGCTGTCACGCCAGCACGCACTGCTCGGCAGATGGATCTATCAACAGCAGATCCCGTTGAGGACTGTTCTAGCACAGCACCCGAGCCTTCCCAAGAATCACCTGTACCCACGCAGCAGGGCATGCAAGATGGGCAGATACACCACTTGCAGGCTCAGATCGCACATCTTGAGGCACGCATAGCCAAGCTTGAAGAGGACAAGCAGTGGGCACTGCAACGCCTGCTCCCTCTTCACCCCGCATGGCACCATATCTGCAATCCCTTTTCTTTTATTGTGCACCGCATTGCCGCACTTGAAACATTAGCTTGCAGTAACCTCAACGCATTGCAGGCATTTGCGAATAGACCTGACCCGTTTGCACCTGCAAGTTCCATCCCGGTTGACTAATACCTGTCGCGCCGCATGCTCAGCTCTGCAGTAACCCCCATTTGCCTTCCCGCCTACAAAGACAAAATTAACCCTGTCAGGTCGACTGATCGTCTACATGCTCTGCAACAACGCAAAGCATACCCGCCTGCACCTTGGTGAGCTCTAAGCTGCAGGTCTCTTAAGTCTTTGCATGCACTGCCCGTTGCACAACAGGAATAGCTCAGCGTCATCGAGCCTCGGGCTCCAGTGGGGGTAGGGAAGCGGGTATGACCCCAGACAACCCCTGCCCCCGCAACCTTCAAGTCCTCGACATCAAGAGTCTCTAAGGCATAGCAACTACACTGCAATAGGCAACGCCTCGCACTTTCACATACTCTAACTTTTCGCATAGCAACGCACTCGCATGGATGCAATGATATCCGTGGGCGCAGCACTCGGTATCCTCGAAGCCAGCTCGGATTCCGAACTTGCGCCTGCACTTCTGCAGCGCCCAGACCTGACGCAACGCCTCCGCGCACTGGTTGGCACCGCGCAGCCTCGCACCGCGCCGGCATCGCAAAGCACAGCGTCTGCATGTGCAGGGCACGACCCTGCGACGCAGCAGGCGGCACCGCAGTCGCAAGGCCCGCCTGCGGCCCCGCAAGGAGCACCGCAAACTGCAGTGCCTGCTTTCGGCGGAGGCACGGTCTATGTGCACGCAGTTCCCACATGGAACGTGCCAGGCCCGCCACCGCAAGAGCAAAGCACTGCACCTGCATTCAGGCCAGATCCCTGGGAGGAACACTGGCGCACCGCACCCCGCACGGACTGGGCCGATGCATTTGATGATGACTCTGGCTGGCAACGCAAAGGCCAACGCCCGCACAGCAAAGGCAACCGCAGCAAGGGCCATTACGACGACTATGATGAGCGTCGCGCACCGCAACCGCCTGCAAACTCCTGGGGCAAAGGCGCAGCCGAGCCCTGGGAGCACCAGCCTGCACAGCAACGGGAACCCTGGGAGATGGGTGGCACTGCACCGCCCGAGCCCGCACCGCCCACGGTTGAGATGAAACCGAGCACGCAAATTCGCACGCAAATCCGCTGGAGCCAGCAAGGCAAGCCAATCTTTAAGAATTCCAAATGGAATTTGGCTTGCGCCTGGCAGTGCACCCGCACGCATTGCAGACACGGTCGGCCACCGTGCGGATTCACTATCACGAATCCGCTGGCCGACCGGCATACATCGCATGCATGCAGCCTTTGCATGAAGGACGACGGTGCATAGCACCGCAACGCACCGCAGGAAAGAGAAAAAAGCCGCTGCATGGTGACCGCAAGCCTCTGCCTGCATCGGCCTTTTTTACCTTGGGCTCTGCGTAGCACCTTCATTCTGGGCCAAGGCCGCACCGCAAGCACTTTTTTGGCAAGGCTCGCATGGCCACAAAATCTGCTTCGCGAACGGGCACGCCACAACCTCGCACAGGTTTGGCTTTCCATCGACGAGGTCCAGGCACGCAGGTGCTTTCGGCCCCGCACCTACACCGCATGTTATTTTCTCTGCCCTCGCATAGCATCAGTCATGCACTAGCATGCCCAACCCTCGACCCTAATCCACGGCCACCAGGTGCACAACATCGACAAGGCTGGGTCCTCAAACTCGCTGCAGGTGCACGTGTTTCGCTGTGAGTGGGTTTTTCTGACTTTCTGCATTGCATGGCATCTCAAGTCCAAACTCTCGCATGTGCAAACTGGGCAGAGCATCACTTTTCAGTACCTGAGTCTAGTTGTGCATGCATGTCTGAGAGCAATGGTGACGAACTGGACACCAGCAATGCACAGGAGGTAGAATCGAGCGAGGAAACACCACCCAGAGTGGTGGTCAAAAGGTATCGCAAAGCCACCCCCCACAGCATGGCACAGACACAGCAACCAAGCTCCGGCCAGCAGCATATGGTTACCTCGACTCCAGCCCCCCGTCTCATGCAAAGCAAGCCGAAGTTCGGACCCAGTCCCAGAGGACACGCTCCTCCTCGTTTTGCAATTAGCCCCTACCCCCTACCAGCAACCCTCCGCACGCAAATGCACATGACAGCGCATTGGCACGATCGCCTACAACCCCACGAAACAACCTACAGACCCAAGCTACCTCCCTTCGCAAAGGGGCCCCCCTTAGCCCTTCCACAGGGCATCGCAACACGACCGCGCTGCAGCATGCCAGACCTCCGTACAGGAGGAAGACCTCTGCCACAGCCTCGGCCGACCCCACGCAGCCTCATGTTTCGACGCCCGGGCCCAGCATCGCCACCCGCAACCAGCACGTCGCAAACACAGTTGCGCGGTGAGGCTCCGCACCGCAAGCAACCAACAGGACCCAGGCACACAACAGCTGCAGCGACGACGCAGCGCGCAATGCCGCTATCTCCGGCACCTGTCCGCGAACAGGCCCCCACGACAACAAAAGCACGCAATGCCGCAGCCCGCAAGCTCGCAGAACAGACCTTCATTGACCTGGTCAATAGAATTGGCCCGGCATGCGAAGCCTTCTCGCAACTCAGTGCATCAGCAAACTTTGCATCGCACCTACGCCGGCTGGTGGCACCTTTTGCAGTTAGTACACTGCAGCGCTACCTCCGAGCCAGCCACGTTTTCGTGGATTTTATATCCACTACACCATCGCAAAGTGGCAAGCCATGCCTTGGCAACATCCCAGTCTCGCTTCTGGCGGATTACATGATGGCATGTTCCGCAAGCAAAGAAGAAGACCGCGAAGTGCACATGATGAGCCCCGTATCCAGCGCTAAAGCACTTCGCTGGGTTGCCAAGACCCTGCAATGGCAAGCATTGTCAGAGGCAGTGTCATCTCCTGTCATATCAGCATATGGCAGGCAATCGCGCGAATACCACCGCAAGGAAGCGACTCCCCTTCCTATGGCACTGCTTGCATGCTGGGAACGCACTGTCTGCTCAGCAGAAGCACCCCTCACTACCAAGCTTTTCTTGGGCGCCGTTCTGCTCTGCACGCATGCAAGCCTCCGCTTCGGCGATGCACAAAGAATAGAATGGACTACACTGCAGCTCAGTGCGCAGGGGTTGCACGGCACGGCCTATGCAACCAAAACCACGAAATGTGGGCAGCCGTTTGCATGCACTTGGCACGGAATCACCGGCAGATGCATACACTCTTCATGGCTATTGCAATGGTTGTCCTGCCTCGTAGAGGTAGGCACGCAAGCCGACCTAGAGCCAGATTTTCTCTTCTTTCATGCAGATTTGGGATCGCACAAGCACCCACAAGTGTTCCCCTCCAGCTACGCGCACGCACTGCTCTGCCTCAGATTTATGGCACAACAAGCCGGACTCTCAGAGCCGGAGGCGTTTGCGCTCACACTGCATAGCATGAAATCCACCATGCTGGCGGCAGCCGCGCAAATTAAGTTCGACGAGCACGCACGCCTCGCACAGGGACATCATCGGGACAGCCTCCGCCTCTACAGCCGCAATGACACTCTAGAAGCACTTCGACTCCAACGCGAGTTAAGCACGCAATTGGCTCAAGGATGGAGACCGCAACGCAGCATGGCCAGAGGCGGCGCAGCCCCTGTACCCGAACCACCTTTCAGCACACCACCGCAGCCCCCGCAGCAACTGCTAGACTACGAACAGCTGCAGGCAGGGACATGGGCAGTCTTCACATCACGACACGAAAGCCTGCACCGCGACACCGGCACCCAGCCGCCCGAGACAGACGAACTGCAGAGCACACGTTCTGACACCGACTCAGAAGCAGAATTGGTGGAGAAGTATGCGCGGGCACGCACGCAAAGCTCAGAGGAGGAATCTGAGGAGCCTACTGCTCCCGCACCGGATGAGGAGCTTTTCGTCTGCTCGGGGCCCTGGAACGCCCTTCACAGCCCCACGCGCAGCTCGCATCTAGAATATGAACTACTTTATGGATCTAATCCGCGGCACGCAGACGTGCTCATAGCCGCCTGCGGTGCAGACCTGGGCTCCATGCCTGTGGTCATTCAGACTCATGACCCGGTTTCAGCATGCAGGCGCAAAGCGTGCATGCTCGCCCGAGCAAGCATGCAAGCATAAACATCTCCCTGCCCACCCGCTCCCGACGATACTGCCCAGGTGCCGACTACGCCGAGAGGCCCCTGGGGTGGACAGGGCTCCTTTTTCTTGTCTGCGCTTGCATTTCTCGCATGCTTTCATGTTCCTGCACGCTTTGCACTGAGCGCATCCCGCAAGCCAAGTGGCTCAAACACAATCACAAACAAACAGTGCAGACCTTTCAAAAACAAGTAGTCCTGTAACTTTCTGCCGCACCGCACCGCTAGGCATGGCCACGCAATCTGGGGCGGACGCACCTGGAGGGGCACCGCACTCTGCACACGATGAGCTGAACAACGAAGAGGGGCTGCAGCGCATCCTGCGGGAGCTCTGCGTACCACCAGCAATGCACCAGGCATTGCGAGCGCAGGGCATATGCTGCATCGCAGATTTTGCCTACGCTTATAACAGCACCGCCGACCTCGACAACTTTGCCGCGTCCAAGGACGAGGAGTTTTGGACGGCGCTGCAAGTGACCGAGCAACCGCTGCACAGCATGCCCATGGCGCGCCTGCGCCGCGCACTGGTGCAAGCGCAAATCCGCGTCAAGGCCTACGAGGCAGAGACGCATCGCACAGAAGAGACCGCACCGCAGAGCTCGGCACCTTCTTCCAGCACAGCACCGCCCACGGACTCCTGGGTGGAGCACGCACCGCAACGCCTAGACAGCGACACCGTGGCAAAGCTCACTGCAGAGTTTAAGGAGGCCTATCCAGGAGAGCTTCTGGATAGCGCAAGCACGCCAAGCATTCGCCTGCTCAGCATGGTGCACGCATGGTTTAAAGACCCGGCACAGCCCCGCATCAAGTACATTCCTTGGCAATTTCGCATGTCGCAACGCCAATACACCGAGATCATTGAGGCCAAGGCGCACCGCATTGTTCGCACTGAGGCACAGCTCATCAGCACTGCATTGTTCGACGACACTCCGACGCTCAGCATTGCAGAGGTCAACATTAACGAATCGTGGCTGCAAGCAAAGCAGCGCATCTTTAGCAACGCAATAGCACTGTGCAAAGGAGCACACCTGGCAGTGCTCAAAGCCTTCGACAGCAAAGTCTGTGAGCAATGCACGCAAGTTTGGAAGCCCGGTCACGGGCTCCGCAACGTGAGCACCGAAGAAATGCTAGATGCAGACCGCAAGATCTGGCGCAGCATTGCCACGCTTGTCGAGGAGCAAGGCTTCAGCCTCGACGAAGCACTGCACGAAATGACGCATGTCCGCGGCGACATTGCCACTCTCATGCAAGCACGGCCCCGCATGCCGGCGATGCCGCCCGCACTGCATGCACCTTACACGCCGCCAGGCCCTCCTAAAGGGCCTAGGAAGGGCACCGGCAAAGCAGGCAAAGCAGACAGCCCGAACAGACCGCAACACACTATCGACAAGCATCAGGCACAGCAACTAGAGCGCGCCATGCAAAACTTGCAAATCACGCATGGCAAAAAGACGCTCTGCCTGCGCTACAACAAGACGCAATGCAACAACGCCAACTGCAAGTACGAGCACCGCTGTGCCATCAAGATGCCGAATGGCCAAGCATGCGGCGGACAGCATCCTGCACACAAGCACCGCTTTAAGCAACCACGCAGCGGCACCGACACCGAAGGCACTGCCAGCACAGCAACGTCTTGACACAGCCGGGATGAGGCCCGCGGGAGCCTGTCCTCGGCGGGTGCTTCCCCGCAGCACCACAGTGACGCACAGCACCGCACCAGCGCAAGCACGCCTCACGCACCGCAACGGCTTGGACCCGAGCACCGCAGTCGCTCGCCGGAGCTGCCTAGAAGCCGAGCAGAAGAAAAGAAGCCTAGTGCAACGACTTCTGCAGAGCATCGCAAACGCTTCTTCTTTGCATGCATAGACTCCGACAACCACGAATACTCGCAGGCTGTGGTGGACAGGCACTTGCACTGTTTATCCCCCCAGCCACGCACAGCCAGATGGACATATTGAAGGACCCTGCAGAAGCACACAAGCTCCTGCAGCTAGCATACTCCGGCCTGGTAGGACTGCTGTGGTGCGACGCCCTGGAAGAGGTGCGAGACGAGGACATCCAGCAGCGTCTCCTGGACATCACTAAAGCAGTGCTGGAAACGGCAGGGCACTTTTTCATCACTCTGCCAGCGCACCTGCCAGACTCCTGGCGCGCACTACTGCAAGAAAGCAACGCACATTGCTGGCAGCTACCAGGCCCGCACGGCACCAGACACGCAGTGTCGTCCTTGCAAGAGATCGCTCAGCTGCAAGGCACAAGGATATCGCCGCAAGCTGCAGCGGACTTGGCAACTCTGGTCGTCTCGCCAGGAGCCTCGGCTTCTGTTCCCTGGCAGGACTTTGGACAGCATTGCTCAGGTCCTTTTCAGCCTCGTCGCCCAGCAGTTTGCGACGGCGCGGGCCTTAACAGTGCTGCAGACAAGTCAGTCCCGCAAGGCAACGCCAAGCTACAAGCATTATCTGAACAGTGGATACAGTACCTTGCATCGGAAAATCTCCTACTGCACCTTGTGGAGCACATACACGAGGGCAAGGATGCACACCCCTTCACCGAAGAACAACAGCAACGCATTACCAGCATCGCACACGAAGCTCTGCACCCGGGCTGCAGCAGTGAGGAATGTACGCATATATCGCAAGGCCAACCTTTCAGACTTGCGCTGCTGCGCCTTTTTGCAAAAGCCACGGGAGATCCCGACACAGGTTTGTGTGAAATGTTGGAAGAGGGCGTCAGCACAGGCATCTTTGAGCCCATACCATCAAGCATGCAATGGGTGCAGCAACAGCACCCTATCGACGACGCAGACCTAGATGGCATGCACCTCCTGCACTGCCAAGGCAACTGGACGCAAGCAGAGAAAAACCCGCAGCTCTTAGATGAGCTGGTCGCAAAAGAAATAGAGCAAGGCTGGGTGAAACCCTTCGAAGGCACCCTCGCAGACGCAGAAGCACGCTGGCCGCAACGCACTGCAATAGGCAAGCTTAACATTGTCATGGCAGAAGGCCGAGACCCAAGGTTGGTACTCGACAGCTCTGTCTGCAATGCAAACGTCAAGAGCAAGATACCCGAAAAGCTTGCAATGCCATCGGGGCTCGACGTTGCACGCACCTTCCAGCACGAAGACCCGCACGGCTCCTTCGTCGCAGTCTCCCTGGACTTCAAGGCAGCGCACAAAGGCATAAAGCTACGCACCGAAGACCAGGGATGCATGCTTTTCCGCATAGCAGACAAGCTCTACCATTATGTAGTGTGCCACTTTGGAGCACGCTTTTCGGCATATTGGTGGCAACGCCTCGGAGCAATGCTCCTACGCATAGTGCATGCACTTTTGGGCAAGCATGCACACAGAGCATGGATATACGTCGACGATTTACTGGCCTTGCTTGCCCGCAACGCATTCGTCGAACAGCTCGCACTGCTGCTATGTTTCCTCACCGCAGTGCACGCACCAATCAGTTGGAAAAAGGCGCAGCTTGGGCATGAAGTGACATGGTGTGGCTGGACCTTCAATTTTGATTTTGAGACGGTCCAGTTGGCAGCAGGCAAGCGAGAAAAACTACAGTCGCAACTGCAGGAGTTGGCTAGCAGCCGCAAGATTCCTCGCAAGCTCCTGGAAAGGGCGCTCGGCTTACTCATGTGGGCGACGACGACATGCCCGCAGCTCCGCCCATATCTGGCACCGCTGTACCGAGACTTGCACAGCGGCAGAGGCACGTTGCACAGCATACACGCCTCGTCATGGCAGACATTTCTGGACGCCCTGGACGACGACGCAGTTGTCAGAAACAGGCCGGCAGGCATGTGGCTTCCTCTAGGAGCCAAGCTCCTAGAAGTAGGAAGCACCACAATTACCGGCAAAGCCTCCGTCCCACGAGTGCCCCCCTCGCACAAGCCGCAATGGGTACGACTGCAGGACCCGAACCGCAATGAGCTCCACTTGCGCAACGAAAGCAGAGCAGCCCTCACATGGCTGTCGCAATGCTTCGCATCGTCCAGAATCCGTTCCCTCAAGCAATATCCACTCATGCACTGCATGGCAGCGGCCGACGCAAGGGCCGATGGCAACTTGGTAGGCATTGGGGGATGGATCAGCACGGCCACTCAGTTCGCGTGGTTTGCAGAGCAATGGGATATATCAGAGGTGCGCAGACATTGGCCACAACTGGTTGAAGCGCCGCAAAAATATATCGCATGCTTCGAAGCCCTGGCTCAACTTGCCCTTGCGATGGTGGCCAAAACACGCCTGAAAGCCAAGCACTGGAGGTTCGTACTGCCAGCGGCCTGTGACAACACCAGTGCAGAGGCAGGGATCAACAAGTTGTTTACCACAACGCCACCGCTCAGCGACTTCCTCAAACTGGTGGCAACGTGGTCCGCATGCAACCACGTCAACATGCAAATTACGCACATTGCAGGCGAATACAACACTTGGGCAGATGAGCTCAGCCGCAATCGCCTCCACAGATTTTCGCATAGAATGCATGAAAGGACGGCAATGCCTCTTCTCATGCTGGCAGCGCCGCTAGGCATAGCACACTTGCACCCGGAGGACGCCTCCTGGCATCGCAGCTGGCACGCATAAAAAGTTAGGCAGATCTGCATGGATTCCTTCAGCATTTCCTGTCTGGCAGGCAGCTCCTGAACCGCACGCGGGGGGGGAGAACAGTCAGCGGTATGCTCGGAGCTAAAGAGGGGGCACAAAAGCCTAGCAGACTGAAGACTGCAAGACTTCGATTCCGAGCATACCATGACAAAAGAGAGTGCGTGTCCGTGCTTCCTGCTTTAAGCTGTAGACAGTCGCTAAGGAAACTAAGCTTACAGAACGCTTCGTGTTTTTTCCTTTCACGTGTGTTTTGTGGCTTAGGGTAGCTCTGCGCTGTCTTGCACTGCACATCCTTAGCGACTGGCTCAGCTGCATGTCGCATGCATAAATTTAAAGCACCCGCCCTCCACACCCTGAAAACACCGCAGGTGACCTCTGAACCGAACAGTTAGCCGCATAGCATCGCACATGCGTCTCACCTAGCACTGGGGGCACAAAAGCCTAGCAGACTGAAGACTGCAAGACTTCGATTCCGAGCATACCATGACAAAAGAGAGTGCGTGTCCGTGCTTCCTGCTTTAAGCTGTAGACAGTCGCTAAGGAAACTAAGCTTACAGAACCGTTGAGTTCAGCCGCATGTTTTGTTTTGCTTTACAGGGCTCCGCCCAAATGCCGCGCCCCTGCGTGGGCCCCTAGGAGCTCGCAACTCATGAGGGCCTCAAATGCACTGTAAATTTTGCAAACTGTTTGTGTAGTTTCAGTTTAGAGCCCTGCGTATGCTTGCTTCTTGGCATAAGCAACCTTGAGCAGTTAGGATTTGGAAGCGCTGCTAGGGCTTAAAGCTTCAAATTTTTGTTTTAGTGCTAAAGGCAACCGAGGCGGCTGTAAGCTTCAGGTTGTGGATTTATGGCTTAGAGTTTAGGGTTTAGGGTTTAGGGTTACGGTGTAACGCTTCGGCTTCATCCAGGTGCTTTTGCCAGGAGGGCTA